TACGCCATTGATGCATCTCTCACAGCCTCCTTGATTTGTGCCAGATTCTGTTCTTGAAATTTCTTTTTCGGAATGTATCCTCAGTTAGCTTTTTACGATTTATAACTTTGTTATCAAGTGATGAAAGCCTCCCTTTCCTTGCGCCTGGAATGTTGTTTCGCATAAATGCTCTTTTGTGTGCAGATCTCCTGATATCTCCGTCGTCCAACCAAAAGCAGACTGGTCCTTCTGCTTCACACGTTTGTTCTTGCAGGTACCTTGGTCGCTAACAAGGCAGTGGGGAATCCAGAGAAGTGTGATCTTTCATAAACCAATTGATCACCTTCCAAGTTGGGGTTCTGCTATGACATGTAGCTTCAATATTTCCTCCACCAACAAGCTTTAAGAGCTGTTTATTCGTCCTGTCATGTTCTCTTATTTTTCCACCAAACAAAGTTATAATATCTGTTACACTCTTGATGAGAAAGAAGGATCATCAATTGACGCAAACCTGTCAACCAGGATTTTGCACATGTCAGTATACTTTTGCCCAATGCTGCAAGATGAAGTAAACTAATACCACAACCTTCTATAACGTTTGGGTTCACTCCAGCAGCGAGCAATACCCTGAGAATGGTATTGTTACCAGATTCAACAGCGCAGTGCATGACGTTGGGAGCAGGTCAATAACGTCAGTGGCTTCATAGCTCAGTTGGTAGAGCATTGCACCGGTATCGCAAGATCACGGGTTCGAACCCCGTTGAAGTCCTGAATTTTTTCAGGCTTCTTTACACAATTGCATAAATTGTGTTCACTGCGATGATCATTTCTTCATTCTCAATGATAACAATATTACTACTAATCATAATAGAAGAATAATTTTTTTCTCACCTGTAAAATGGTGGTGTATGTATTTTCCACTGGTATTGAGTTGATACAGTTCATTAGTAGGTTATCTTTGCGCTATTGTGATACATGCCTTTAGGCTCTTCTCCAGGGATTCTGTGATTGAAACGCATCTATTGAAAAAGGTTGCCCTTCATTGAAAAGTAGCCTAGTTATCGGCGTTGGGAACACACAAGGTTTTAAATAGCAAAATAGCACTATTTGCTGTTCGACAGAGATAAACAGTGGCCTTCTGGAAGGTGCTCGGGGACAGCATCATGATCTTTGATTTCGTCATCAATATTCCCAAACGCCACCCATATGAGTCGCATCTGGAGATTGTTTTCCATTTGATAACCCATTCAGTGAAGTCTTTGCTCGGGCATCTTGGGATGTCATCATGGTCCATCTCCTCTAGGGCTTTCTTAAGCTCAGTCTGCGGTCCCACAATGTTGGTTCTCTGGTCTGATCTGATCTTGCATACTGGCCATCATCTTACTATGAATTTTCGTACTGTATTCATGAAGGAATTTATTTCTAGCAAGTGTGCTGTTTTTATATGTACTCCTCTGCTGGCTAAGCATGTAAATAGTACCCTATGGCATTTTACTTCTTTCATGCCTTGCTTTATAAGAAACGGACCAAACAGATAGACAACACAATACCTGAAGGGACGGGCAGATGTTATCCTCTCCTTTGGCAGATTGACCATCTTCTGTTCACCAGTTGTTCCTTGGAGACAATGGCAAACAAGACACTTGGAAATGAGATGTCTCACAACTGAGTTTGCGATGAGCTTCCAAGCTCATTCAATGTTATGCCTCTGCCAGGGTTAACAACTTTCTTATGAGCATCACAAACGGTAGCCTCAACTATGAAACTTTTCTTCAGGAGGATAATCACCGGATGCTTAAAGTCTTCCGTGAACTCTTGTGTTTACCCAGTCTATCAACAATGGAGATAAGTCCATCCTTGTCTAGAAAGGAATCGAGGCACTACAGGGTACTCTACTTCTTAATTTCGGATTTCTTTACCTTTGTGAATTGGCGATCGGTCTTGGAATCTGCTCGTTGAAACTTCTGTAAGGCTCCCATTTCCTTGGGAAACGCTCCACTCTGTACAAGTTTAAGAACTGTCTTCTCAGCTCTATCCAGCTGTTCTATCAGAGGTGTGACATCAACTTGAGTGGTGTCCGCCTCTCCTTGTACCAGAGCCAGTGATGCTTTGCTTAGGCTTGAGAGGGAGTATCCAGGAAAAAGGTCTCTTCAGTTGGTGCCATTTGGAAAATCGGGTAATCCTCGCCAGAAAGTCTTTGTTCTCATCAATGCTTTTGCTGTGCACAAAGATCTTTTTAATTTCAGGGTTTTCTATGGAGATATCGTCTAGGTCAAAAGGGAGTCAAGGCCACTTAGTCTCAGGTAGCCGTAAGAAGTTCGAACCTGTAATCCAACAACACTGCAGGTATAACTCCTGACCTTCAAGACCATGTGAAGTGTCATCTGCTGGATTCCTTTTCGACTTAACGTACCTTCACTGGTGGGGGTTTGTTGCGTCTTGTATCATCTGAACTCAGTTGGCAACAAATACTTGAAAACGTTTCTTTTCGTTACGTATGTGCCCTAGCACGGTTGTGCTG